AGTAAACTGCACTGAATAATAAACTCATTAGTGGTATGACACCATGAGAATCTAAAATAAATGTTCCTGGTCTGTATGTTCACTACCACATAAAGTGCATCAAATCATTTTTTTCACAACACTATTTTACCACTACCTCAAAATCTGTATTAGAAGGTGCATCCCAGATAGAAGTCACACCCAGTATTTTTGAATAATTGAGAACCAAAAATTCATCATTTCTCAAATGTGTAGATGCTCTAATAGAAGCCGCATCCCCTCTGTTGCATTGTACCATTATAATAGAAGCCGTGGTTTCTAATACAGATTTTACAGTACAAAGTATTATAGTGTTGTCTGTTGATGAATTTGATAAATACCTCTATCACAAATGGTTCCTCTCCAACCAGCAGTACAAGTACAAGATCCACTGATATGATCACAGTCAGCACCATTGGCACAAGCACATGGAGATTTACACATACTTCCATACGTACCATTACTGCATTCTGTGTAATGAACAACAAAAAGAGATGGGTTCAACATTTGTGACCTTTTACAAAATAAAATAAACATTTATGGTCAAAATTTATTTCCATTTGGTTCAAATTTATCAAAAACAAATATTGCATCAAAATTAAGAATATAGCTGCCTCGTCTTGACTGCTAGCCCTGAGAATACACTTCAGAGGGAACCCGATCAGAGAGTACACATCAGAGGTGACCAGATCAGGGAGTACACTTCTGAGGGGACCAAATCAGGGAGTACACTTAATAGGGGACCAGATCAGGGAGTACACTTCAGAGGGGACCAGATAGGAAGTACACTTCAGAGGGAATCAGATAGGGAGTACACTTCAGAGAGGGCCAGACCAGATTTTTTATTTTAACTTTCAATATTTAACTTTATTTTATTACGAACAATATCCCAATTAAGGATACATTTATCAATAAAGATTATTATTATTACTGTAAAATCTGTATTAGAAGCTGCGGCTTCTATTAAAATGATAGAATGCAACAGAGGGGATGCGGCTTCTATTAGAGCATCTACACATATGAGAAATGGTGAATTTTTGATTCTCAATTATTCAAAAATAATGGGTGCGACTTCTATTAGGGATGCGGCTTCTAATACAGATTTTACGGTATTACACTTCCGAGGGGACCAGATCAGGGAGTACACTTCCGAGGGGACAACCAGACCAGGGAATACACTTCCGAGGGGACCAGACCAGGGAATACACTTCCAAGGGGACCAGACCAGGGAATACACTTCCGAGAGGACCACCAAACCAGGGAATACACTTCCGAGGGGACCAGACCAGGGAATACACTTCCGAGGGGACCACCAGACCAGGGAATACACTTTCGAGGGGACCACCAGACCAGGGAATACACTTCCAAGGGGACCAGACCAGGGAGTACACTTCCGAGGGGACCAGACCAGGGAATACACTTCCGAGGGGACCAGACCATGGAATACACTTGAGAGGGAATCAGATTCTGTATAGCTAGATCAGAGGACCATTGACCCAATGTCTAGCTACACTGTATGACATGGATTGGTGTGAACAGCTTTGATGGTATTAGCATGGAATAAGCTCAGTTATTAAGCATTTATTTTAGGGAATGCCCAATGGCTGAGAAGTCATGCTAGGTGATTTAATGGCGCTTATACATGAGTATTGGTATGACTTTTGCTAACAGTGCATGTTGACATAAACAGTTCAGTTTTTACACCTTGCTGTGTATTCTGTGTTAATTATATGCTTTACTTCCTATGTTAGCAACTGCTCGGTACCAGGGTAAGTTCACAATTATTTCAGACAGTTTCTTTGCCCAAACTGACAAGTTTGATGATCAATTTACACAACAGAATCATTGTGGGTGAAGCTCAGTCATTTGTATGTCAAAATAGAAAACTATAACTGAATGTAATCAGCAACTTACTTTGATCGCAGTCCCTTCCTTGCCATCCAGGTGCACATATACATTCACCGGACACTGGATCACATTCTCCAAGATTACGACAGTTACATTTTAGACTGCAGTCCTGACCATACATACCAATACCACAGGCTGTATCAAATACAAATTACATTTTGACATTCAACCTTTCACCTTACATAATTCTGATTGTTTTATTACATCTACATCAAAATGTTTGCAACTTGCAGTCTCTTAATTTTATCTGGCATAAAATAAATGAAAGTAGTTTTTAAAGTTGTTGTTTGTAAAATGGCCATGGGGGTTTTACAAAATCTTGCCACACTCAATCAGGCTCTGTAAAAACCAGAAATAATATTTCATCAATTGTATTTTTACCTTAAAATTGACTAATTTCTAATTGATAAATAAGAAATATGTTATCGATTGTGATTTATTATCTCAAGATAAATATCAATTCACAATATACATAATCATCTAGTGACATTTGACCTTGGTATAATACACCACATTTCTACAGCAGAAAATATACATGAACTAAATTATAACACTATATAATACTACTTTTAAATAGCCAATCGAATTAACAAACATTAATTGATTTAGTTTATAGATATGCCCTATGTAAGTAACAATCTGATTGGACAATTGTTAAAGATATGCCCTATGTAAGTAACAATCTGATTGGACAATTGTTATAGATATGCCCTATGTAAGTAACAATCTGATTGGACAATTGTTATAGATATGCCCTATGTAAGTAACAATCTGATTGGACAATGGTTATAGATATGCCCTATGTAAGTAACAATCTGATTGGACAATTTTATAGAAATGCCCTACGTAAGTAACAATCTGATTGGACAATTGTTATAGATATGCCCTATGTAAGTAACAATCTGATTGGACAATTGTTATAGATATGCCCTATGTAAGTAACAATCTGATTGGACAATTGTTATAGATATGCCCTATGTAAGTAACAATCTGATTGGACAATTGTTATAGATATGCCCTATGTAAGTAACAATCTGATTGGACAATTGTTATTACTCCTACCTGAATTGAACAATGTATGATCTGCTTTAAAAAATCAAATGTTTTAATTTTGAACTTGAATGTTGAAATATCCATGGAAATACCTCCAAAAAAACATTTGCAAATGTGAAATCCCATGCATGAACAGTTTTGAGGCCACTATGGCAATAGTTTGTCATTTTTTATGCTTGCAGGATCTTGAGAAGTTTGGAAAATCATCTATTGGTAGTCATTTGATTGCTATAATCATAAATCATCTATTGGTAGTCATTTGATTGCTATAATCATAAATCATCTATTGGTAGTCATTTGATTGCTATAATCATAAATCATCTATTGGTAGTCATTTGATTGCTATAATCATAAATCATCTATTGGTAGTCATTTGATTGCTATAATCATAAATCATCTATTGGTAGTCATTTGATTGCTATAATCATAAATCATCTATTGGTAGTCATTTGATTGCTATAATCATAAATCATCTATTGGTAGTCATTTGATTGCTATAATCATAAATCATCTATTGGTAGTCATTTGATTGCTATAATCATAAATCATCTATTGGTAGTCATTTGATTGCTATAATCATAAATCAAGCAGTGTTTAATTCATTGTATGAACAGTTTAGATTTGTAGGTTTTCAAACTCACGTTGATTGCAAGTAGTTCCACGCCATCCAATCGCACAGTGACAATCCCCTGTGACAGGATCACAGCTTGCTCCATTTTGACAGTCACATCGCTGACGACACATTAATCCATAATGACTCTCAGGACAACCTACAAATTGAAGATGAACAATGACAAAATAATCGTCGGAAAATATTTATTTTAAATTATTTTTTAACAAATATTGAGATATAAAAGTACTATATTGTCAATATGTTTATTGATACGGTAAACAGAGTACCATTTAACAGCTTATTTTCATACAATTTTCAGTCATTCCAAGGTTTTTCAATACAATACAATACAATTTAGCATCCTGAGAAACATTTCTTCTATTTTATGTATTTAACCCACTGAGTGCCAAAGTCAACTTCAGGCACCATCCACAAAATAGTTTCATTTGTAGTCTGCTTTTTTCTACAGAAAATGTTTACGGAAATTTCAACTTTTTTGATCAAAAATGTCACATTTTTTCTGTTTGGTCCGAAATTAAGATTGAATTTGGTGAAAATTTCAAAAAATTTACAAATTCACCCCATTTTGGTACTCAAAACGGTTGGAAATATAAATTGATTAAAAGTATTTTTTCACATAAAATCACAACATTTATTGGTTACCAATTTGTTTAGGAGAAACACTGACAATAAAATGTGGTCTGAGGTTGTTATGGAAACAAAAGATGGTTATTTTATACTTACTTTCACTACAGTCCTGTGTGAACCATCCTGGCTTGCACTCACATTTACCAGTAACTTTATTACATTTAGCTCCATTTTTACAGTCACAATACTTGTAACAATCTTCACCCCATTTACCTTCAGCACACTCTTTATGGAAAAATTATGAAAAATTTAATTTAGTTTCAAGTATATTCTATCTTCCACTAGAAAGGTAATCTGTATTGACAGAAAATTTACCATAAAGCCAAAACAGAAAGCAGTAGTTTCCTGTTCCAGAAATAAATGATTCTACTAAAATATGAATTGTGTATTAACTATTTGAGCAACATACCTAATTCACAATGATCTCCTCTTGTACCAGGATCACAGAAACATAACCCTGTGGTTGTATCACAAAGACTGCCACTACACAAGCAATTGTGTAAACAATTTCGACCAAAAGTTCCTTCCTCACATGCTGAAAAAATAAAGACAAATATTTTCTGCAAAAATGATTTTTAACCAAAATGAAATGTATTATATTGTTTATTTCAGCAGAAAATATATACAATAATAATAGTAATTCTAGTGAGGATCACAGATGTGGTTCATTTTAACTACTTTAATCTGTGACCCCAAAATTCTATAATTGTGATTTACTAAATACATAACACACTTAACTTGAAGTTATATATATAAAAAAAATAAGATAGTTACTGTAAAATCTGTATTAAAATGGTACAATGCAACAGAGGGGATGCGGCTTCTATTAGAGCATCTACACATATGAGAAATTATGAATTTTTGGTTGTCAATTATTCAAAAAAGAATGGGTGCAGCTTCTATTAAGGATTCAGCTTCTAATACAGACTTTACAGTACAAATTTTTTAACATAACACATTCATTAGTTCATGTGATAAAGTTTTAACATCTTTCTAACTATGTATGTAGAATATAAAAAAAATTATAGTTGAAGATGAATATTATTTTATTTCAGTTTGACCGCTACACCTTAGCAGAGAGTATTTCATCTAGGAGTTGTGATACCACATCTAGTGAGAGGAAATTAATTCAATTGTTTCAAAGAAGTAATTCTCACATACCAGTAAGGCTTCGTAAATATTTATTTCTTACGTTGAATGAAAGAACATGAGCTAACGTTCTGAAATCGTTTTATCTCCGAGTCAGTGACCAGTTATTTAATTTGTGTTTCTGAAGTGTATAATGCCCTGAAATAACCTAATAATAAACTATTATACATCCTACCATATTAGGAATTCTGATGATGGAACGATTACGTACGTAAGCGTCCTCTAATAATAAAATCAAACATAGCAGCCCCCAGGGTTTGACTGAACTGGTACCACAATGTATGCATGAAGAAATTACAGCAAGAGTATCGACAGACGTGCATATTATTTATTTATTTACCTCAACCTTTTTGTGGGTATGGCAACAAAAAAGTATAAATGAGTAAAACCTCAGATTGCACATTGCATATATGTAAGAAAAGTAGACTAGCTTTCAGAATGGTTAAACAATATAAAGGTATTGTCATTGTAACATACGTATTTCACAGGCTTCTCCAGTATATCCAGGTGGACAGTCACGCATACATTCTCCAGTCACATGGTTACAGGCAGACGTGTCTAAACACAGACATTTTTCTTCACAGCCATCCCCAAAATATCCAATATCACAATCTATAAACAAAATATCACACAAATGACACCTTAACTTAACTTGACTTGACAGAAAAACAAGTATTCAAGTCACCCTAACTTGACTGAAAAAGAAGTATTCAAGTCACCCTAACTTGACTGAAAAAGAAGTAACAATAACATGACTAAAAAAGAAATATTCAAGTCACCCTAAATTGATTGAAAAAGAAGTATTCAAGTCACCCTAACTTGACTGAAAAGTATTTCTTTCACCCTAACTTGACTAAAAAGTATTTGTGTCACCCTAACTTGACTAAAAAGTATGTGTCACCCTAACTTGACTGAAAAGTATTTATGTCACCTTAACTTGACTGAAAAGTATTTGTGTCACCCTAACTTGACTGAAAAGTTTGTGTCACCCTAACTTGACTGAAAAGTATTTGTGTTACCCTAACTTGACTGAAAAGTATTTGTGTCACCCTAACTTGACTGAAAAGTATTTGTGTCACCCTAACTTGACTGATGAGAATCAGTATGTTTTTTATTTATTCTGTGTGGTTCTATCTACATCACACTATCAGGGATAAGAAAAACAAATATTTCAATTTGCACTTTTAGTTTTTGTCAATTCAAGTAATATTTACAACATTCTATTCTTACATCTTTACTTAAAACATAGTTGAACTCTGGTGACCTTGCCCTTTGTTATATAATATAATTCCCTTTATCATAGTTTGTTTCAATATAAATATGCATTGTCATAATTAATTTTGAATACAAACAAGTTTTGGGGTTGAACCAACAGTGGGGAATCAGTCTACCGAATGTCCTTAAAAGATGTAAATATTTTACAAAAACATTGGTGCCTTATTTGTTTAATTATTTTAAGGGACATAATTTCCAGCTTTCTTCAAAGTAATTCAGATATTTTAGTATAAAAACAAATGTCTCAGTGAAAAAAAAAAGTGCTGCATTTAGATGTGAATAGATTCATAAAACATGCAAGATAACAGAAAATTTTAGCTGGCTT